CCTCCCTCCCCCTTCCTCCCCCTCCCCCTCCCTCCCTGTCTCTTCCTGTTTCTCTCCTTCTTTCCCTCCCTCTCTCCCTCGTCCTCTCCTTTCCCTTCCCCCTCCCTCTCTGTCTCTCTTTCTCTCAATGAAATGAGCTTGCAACCATGATATATGATGGGTGAAAGGAAACTGTCCTTTCATAAAATGTAAAGAGGGGACTGTTGCCATCAACATTTTTTGAGATGAGTGTTCATATTATTTAATAGCTGAAAGAAATTAAGACGCACTTATTAAAAAAAAGGGTGATGCAATGATTGGGTTTTCTTGGGGATTCCACACAATCCTGGTGAAGAGCCGCAATGTGGGATGAAAGGAAAATAGACTGTAAGATGTAGAAACAGGTGTCTGCTGTTCTTACAGATGAAGATTCTTCATTTAAAAAAAAAAGAATATGGAAAAGAAGAAAGTATGAAAATTACTCACCTCTGTCAGAACCAATGATGGACCTTAGGTACCTTGGGGTCAAAGGTATTTTTATTCGTTCTGTTCTATACTGTAAATTGCTGGAGGAACCTACTTGGAAATGGAAAATGGGGAGAGGGAGGGAGAAATAAATTCATTTAAGTTCCAAGAAACCAGCTAGGTTGGTAACAAAGCTCTTTGAAGCAAGTTTTACTTTGTAAGAATTCTCATTTGGATTTGGCCGAACTTGAGTTTATGAAGTTTTATGAAGAGTTTATGAAGAGTTACTTCAATCAAATACAGCATGGGAGAGCACCTTTTTTAAAGAAAATAAATGGATTTCGGAGTAGAGGTCAACCTCTCCCCATATCTCTGAAGCCCCTCTCTCCAAAAATTGCTGATCTCATCATCAACTTTATGGGATCCTTGTTGCACAGTCAAGAGTGGAAAAAAATATTATATTTTGCCCTTATGGATGGACTTCAAGGTAAGATGGAAGTCTCTTATATACAACTCTTCTATCCTTTTTAAAGTTTCTCATCTAGAAATCTCCGTGAGTTGCAATTAAAATAGAATCTTTGTTCCAACATGTTGTGTGTGTGGCAAAGCTGAAAACCTATGTTTTATGCTTAGCTACACACACAACAGTTCTGCATGTTAACTACACATAAACACACAGGTTAATGAACTGTATACCAGTACATTGATGTCAGTGTATTATCACAAAGATCTAATGCTAACCAGTCTATAGATTCAATGCAAATCAATCAAAATCAATCAGATATAATGCCAATCAATCGAATCAATACATAACATTTGTGGGTCCTACTGAGGTCTGTGTGAGAGGGGCATGGTGGCCTAGAGGTGAAGATGCTCACCTCCCACTCGGAAGGTTGAGAGTTCAATCCTAGGTAGCAGCAAACATTTCTCTCTTACGGTGCAAAGAAAAAGATATCTGCTGTGAACTTCATATAGGCATCAGGAAGGGCATTTGGCCAGTAAACTCTCAGCTCTATCCAGTCACCCCAACTCTACCCCAAATTAAGGGACTGCAGGGTCATAAAAAGGAAGTTTGATTGAGGTTTGGGAGAGGATAGAAGGTGGAAGAGTGGTGGCCTTAAAAAGACCTTCTCTAGGACATTTCAACAGCTCTCCTGTCCAACAATGTCCCTCTTCCAAGGGAAGCCCATATCCATGATGCACCAAGACTACAAAGACAAAGCACGCCATTTCTTCTTTCAGACATCTTACCCAGTCTTGCACTAGAAGGCAGTGAATTTGAACCATGGGATGATCTTGAGCGTGTATTTTCAGAGCATTCACTGGTGTGCTTGTGACTCAGATCCAAACTGAGATGTCCTTGGTGTTGAGTACTGAAATACAGAAAATTGGATTTTTGCTTGCATGTGCTCAGCAACATCAGGGGGAACCAATGGACATAAGGCACCTCCTCCGTTCCATAAATATGATCTGAAATATATTTTACAAATGGTAGAATGGAGGAATTCACCAGTCCATCTCTGAGTAATCAATTTCTGGCTGGGAAAATATATAGTAAATAAAAAAGACAATACAACATTAAACCATTGGTGGTGGACTCCAGTCAAAGCCTGCCTAATTTTGCAGACAGTAGAACAAAATTTAGCTACATTCAAAGAAATAACAATTGTACATTTAAAAAAAAGATTGGTGTTTCCCAGGTATTTTATCGGGTGAGGTGTTATGAGATGGATCCGTGAGTCCTTATAGAAAGTACAATATATTAGGACATGAGCTGTCATTTTGATAGCCCCTTGTCCATCATCTTAAAACAATATATATGTGTAGGGCAGCTGTGGAGGGCAACTATATAATTCAAGGAAAGGATCCAGTTGCTTTAAAAAGTTCTTGACCTAAGCTGCATCCTCCCTGATCTTCATTCTGGATCTAAATTTCTATACAGCCCTAATGATTTGGCTTGATTGCAATGACTCCTCCAGACGCTTCCCCAGAAACCTCCCCAGATGTCTGTTCAGAGGTGGATGAACCAGTCCAAGGCACTCCAGGAGAGTTGGTCAATAGCTCCAAGTTGCCGTCTGAGAGGAATTTGGCTGCGGCAGGACAGCCCTGAGGTTTCAGCTGGGGAAAGCACACAGCTGCAGTGATGAGGAAGAGGAACTGCCTGCTGCATTGATCCAAGAACATGCAGGGCAGAGAAAGGGCAGGTGTCAACTCGAAAAGAATTCCTATGCCTGTTTTCAAGTTGCCATAAGCAAGGGGGAAAACAAACCAGAAGTACATTCCACACATATCTTACAAAGATTGTAGCTAGGCTACTGGATCTTCTGCCCGTGAAAATCCTTCATTGGAGAATGTGATTGATGACACCCAGCCTGTGAACGTGCTCTGTTGGAGAATCTGATTGATGACACACTCAGGGGGAGAGGGGGGGAAACAGGGTCACAGGTGACTGTAAATCACGTGTGTCAGAGTTGGCTTCAACTGGGATAATGCCGACATATCACTCCTCATAAATCTTTTGGATTCTTTTGAAGCTTGGCTCGAGGGTCATGATTTAATTAGGGCAATCGCCAGAACCCTGACAGCAAGCAAAATCCACATTTGTACTGGGGCATGCGGGAGAGGGCGTCAGCAGCAAAGGGCAGCCCGATTACTTCTGAGGAGAAAGCCTCGTCCCTCTTGATGGGCTGCACCAGAAGCTGGCTTTTTAGCACAGCAGACAGATGGAGGCGACGCTGGGAACAATGTGTTCATTTCCTAGCTGTGTGATTCCTGGTCATTGTGATTCCAGACTTGGATTGACCCTGTGCCATGACTTTGAATCGTGCCTTGGACTTTCCTTGCCTCATGCACCCTCTTGTGGCATGGTCTTAATTTTGCCTAGTGGATTTATTTTGTTTGAGAAACTTTCAGGTGCCTTGTGGATCATTGGCCATTAATCTGTGGACTAGCATTGGCCCGTTTGTGGCTGAACTTAATTGGAACAGTTCTGGGTGAAGGGAATTGCTGAGCAATATTAATACACCCCTAACCCACCATTACACGTGTGTGAGTAAGTGGGACAGCACCCTTGGATGATGCCTCCTTGAAGGCTTCTCTCAACCTTTCAGTTGACTATAATTGGAGGGAGAATGCTACAACCCAAGAAATTATACTTTGGCTCAAGATTCTCCTTATCTTCCAAGTACCTGGGATGCAAGTGTTGGTGGCAATATTGATTGGCTGCCAATGAGCAATTGGTGGTAGCAATTCTATGACTCCAGGCCGTGTAAACAGGATTTCTCATCACAGCTGTCACAGCAGAGCACGGCGCAATGTTTCTCGGGATGGTACCTGTAGAGCAAAAGAGAAGTTAGAAGAGTAACCTCTGCAGTATCATAGCTCAGCCGTAATAGACAACTGATTGCTGCAGGTAAAACTTTCCCAAAGATACAAGCATCCCTGGACTCCCAGGTGCACTTCAAGCCCTCATTGCACGGGTCCAGGTTACTTGAGGGACCACCTTGCCCCACTGGCCCGTACCAGCAGAGGAGGCACGCTGTGGGTCCCGTCCGTCCGATTATCCCGGTTGACGGGGTCCAGAAAGACGAGTTTCTTTGCTGTGGCCCCTATCCTCTGGAACATAGGTGAGGTTGGCCCCCAATCCTCCTATCTTTCCATAAGGGCCTAAAATTGTGGCTCTGCCCATCGGCTTGGAGCCCCAGTGGGGGATCAGTGCAATGGAGGGGGTTGACTGAGTAATAACAGATGCCAACCTCCTCGCCACTCCGCCCCCGTCCTCTCCATGGAGTCCTTGGGTTTTAACGTTTGATTTTAACTGTTTTATGTTTTAACTTAGAAGTAACTGTAATCTGTCCAGTTATCCTACTGTAAAATGGGCAGCCAGTACATTTTAAAAATAAAATAATAAAATAAATAAAATAAAAGCAATAAAATGAATTAAATAAAATATAAATAAAATAATGAAATGAAATGAAATAATTAAAATAAAATAATTAAAATACTAAATGAAATAAAAATAAAAATAAAATTAATAAAATAAAATAATTGAAATAAAGTAAAATAAATAATAAATGAAATAAATTAATAAAATAATAAAAATAAAATAAAATTAATAGTAATAAAATAAAGCCCCTAATTTCCATTGCTAAAAGAGACAGCTGCTAAGTGATTTTTTCCCCTCATTTCACTACTCTTCGTTCCATGGTTAAGTGAATCACTGTCATTGATAAATTAGTAATTTGGTTGTTAATGGAGTCACGGTTCCCTATGGAGTTTTGCTCCCCAAGGGGAATCCCCTGGGGCTCTGCAACCGTCATAAATACATGCCAGTTGCCAAACGTCCAAATGTTGATCCTGTGATTGTGGGGATACAGCAACGATCATTAATGCTGAAAAATGGTTGTAAGTCACTTCTTTTTTTTCAGTGCCCAATGGCCTCTCCATGAACGGGTTGTAAGCCTGTGTATCCGCGGTTGGGTTGGGGCAGGGAGGTTATGCAACAGAAGGAAGTCTGAAATGAACGTGGGTAATCGTGGGTACTAACCTCCCGACAAGCTTCCGGCGTATAAAGAGGCTGACACAAAACCGTCACTATGCCGACTGGCCCGTTTGGGTGAATATGTCGGCCATTCTTGTACCTCTGGAGACAGGAGCTCTTCACTCGCTGGAATGTATTTCTGTACCTGGGGAGGAAAATCCAAAGCATCTTTCTATATTTATGGGCAATATGCGCCAACTCAGGAAACTCAAACTGCCCAAGGAGCTGCCGATCCAGTTCTACAGAGGAATGATGGAGTCTGTCATCTGCACCTCTATAACTGCCTGGTTTGGTTCTGCAACCCAACAGGACAGACACAGACTTCAGAGAGTAATTAGGACTGCAGAAAAAACAATTACTACCAACCTGCCTTCCACTGAGGACCTGTATACTGCACGAGTCAAAAAGAGGACTGTGAAAATATCTACAGACTCCTCACATCAGACATAAACTGTTTCAACTCCTTCCCTCAAAATGATGCTATACAGCCCTGCACACCAGAACTAGACACAAGGACATTTTTTTCCTGAACGCCATCACTCTACTAAACAAATAATTCCCTCAACACTGTTCAACTATTTACTAAGTCTGCATTACTATTACTATTAATCTTCTCATCATTCCTTATTACCCATCCCCTCCCACTTGTGACTGTATGACTATAACTTTGTCGCTTGTATCCTTACGATTTATGTTGACTGTTTCTTAGTATGATTTGATTGCTTATTGTACCCTGTGACTATCATTAAGTGTTGGATCTGATGATTCTTGACTCTTGATGAGTGTATCTTTTCTTTTATGCACACTGAGAGCATTTACACCAAAGACAAATTCCTTGTGTCCAATCACACTTCATCAATAAAGAATTCTATTTTATTCTAATATTTCAACAGAAGCTTTTCCCCATTATGAGAGTGACTGCCACAATCACGGTTTATAAATGGCTGTTGCATTTCACAACAAATTAGGTTTTCAACCACAAATTCGCCTTTCCAAATGAAATGATTTCTGGGGATCCCCTATAACCCTCTTGGACCTACTCTGAGAACAAACGATCCTGGTCAGATTTAATACTTAAAATACACACAGGGTACAATTTCTGTTTGCCTACAATTCATATGGGTAGTTCTCGACTTATGACCACAACTCAGCCCACAATTTCTGTTGGTAAGCGAGATGTTTGGTTCGGTGGGTTTTGGCCCCACCCACCGGCCCCCACCCTATCCTGTCGTATCTTTCCATCTTTTGGACTCAACTAATTCATGTGGCACAGCTGATTTCTATGTCTCAGCTGTTCTACTTACCGGGGCTGCCCTAGAAGGTAAGCAGTTGAGCTTTAAATCACTGTATTTTGAACTCTGCTGTCATACCCCTGGTGGAGACTGACTCTGAAGGAGAGGAGGAAGAGCTGACAGGGGGTGGAAGTGTGGCTCCAGAGGTTGTGGAGAAGGCTGGGAAAGGGCAGAGGCCGGCTGGGCAGTCAAAGCTGGACCCAGGCCCATCCCCTCTCCATCCTAGGGCACGCAGGGAGGGGAGAGGATAAGGGAGAGATGTGGTCTCCTCGGGAAGAGAGGGCCTTGAGCCTCTTCATGGGCTGCAGCTGTGACAACTGGATAAGAGGACAGACATGTGTATGGGAGAGTGCTGGAAACAAAGCATGGAAATATCTCTAGTTTATGGTTCCTCCCTGAATTTGGCATCCTATTCTAATATCTGTGGACGTCTTCAAGCCCTTATCCTTGCCTGCTTTGTGTTGTTTTTTACTCTTTATAATTTAAACTGCATTTCCTCCTTTTTTGTAACTGCTTGTGTGGGAGTTTTTTGTCTCCAGACAAGGATATTTGGAGCTTGGAAGCAAAGTGAAGGAATAAAAGGAGCTTCAACTGTTTTTTTTACTGTGTTTATTTTGTATCCCACCCTGGGTCATCACAGCTGCGTGCGCACACTTTTGCAGCCCACCACTGCCTTGCAGCCTCCCCACAGTCCTGTCTTCAAAATTCAGGTGCTTGGCAACTGACTCACATTTATGACGGTTGCAGTGTCCCAGGGTCACGTGATCCCCTTTTGTGACCTTTTGACAAGCCAAGCCAATGGAGAGGCCAGATTCACTTAAAAGCCGGGTTACTAATTTAACCACTGCCACGATTGACTTAAAGACTGTGTCAAGAAAGGTCATAAAATAGGGGCAAAACTCATTTATCAACTGTCTCACTTAGAAACAGATATTTTGGGCTCAATTGTGATCGTAAGTCAAGGGCTACCTGTACAGAGAAACACCTGTGAACACTTAACAATCATGTCAAGCTCAACTGGTTTTTTTTTTTCCTGAGGTAAAGATTCCTTTAATCAATTAATTTTTATTATGGTCACCGACCAGCCAATGGTACAGATTCCTTTGCTCCTATTCAAAAAGCAGAAAGACTTAGTCTAAATGAGCTGAAAAAAGAACTAATTTTCTGTGGCCAACTCACCATGGCCAATTCACCACACCCAACTAGCTGTAGGAAAAACTCCACCGTGGCCAACTCACTATGGGACACTGTGAGACAATTCAACAATTCAACTTATTTACTTAAAATAATTTTTAAAAACATTTTAATTTTTGTCTTTCACACTTCATTTTGCCCTTAACTTTGGCGTCTTTTATCTAATGATTTCGTTCCACCAACTTTTTTATATTGGTGTAACTCTTGTTCCGGGGTGAGTTGGCTGCAGTGTGTTGTCCTAGATCCTGTTCAAAAAACGTTGTGGCGCACCTTGAACAAGAAGTTAACTTTTGTGCGATGCAATTACACTTCGATGTCAGAAAAAATCATTTAAACCAGGACTGTCAAACTCGCAGGCTGGATGCATCTTATGCCCATTTAAAGTGGGGGACAAAGTGTTTTTGTCAACTAAATATCTTAAGTTGAAACTTCCTAGTAGAAAGTTGGGCCCTAAATTCTTGGGTCCATTCCCTGTATCTAAAATAGTCAATCCAGTGACGGTCCTTGGCTGTTGGGAAAAATACACCCAGTATTCCATAGTAGCTTGCTGAAGCCTGCTGTAGGTTCTAATCTAAGGCCAAAACCAGCAGCTCCCCCCAAACCTCTGGTTGTACAGGGTGAGACACATTATGAAATAAAGAAAATCCTCAATTCTAGATTACACCGAGGATTACAATATTTGGTGCTATGGAAAGGCTACTCTTTGTCAGACACTACTTGGGTAAAAAGTTGGGAATAAATGCAGATAGATTGGATAAACAATTGCATTAAGAATTCCCTGACAAGCTAAAGGGTTCCCTTGGAGGGGGGAGAGGGGGTTAAGGGCATTGCATTAACTCCTGGTTGTGTTTTGTTTATTGTATTTCCCAGGACGTGATTTTTTTCAAGGCGGACACCTGTTAGCTTTGGAAGCCATATTGAGTTCCAATGCTCCCACACTGACACAATTGAGCCTGGGAAAGTGGGAGGCGGGGGATTCATTGGAGTATATCTAGTTAGACATAACAACATTCTTTTTCTGATTCAAGGTCAGGTCGTGTTGCGCATAGTGAAAATGAAGTCTTACTTTGGGATGGATGGTGATTGGGGTATGTGATGTAGTGGCGGGTGGCGGGAATGGATTTGTACTTTTTACTTATTGCAAGGAAGCCCAGAACTTTCAGATTCGGGATTCCACAGTTGTGTCAGTTACTATCCAAATAAAAGGAACTGTTAGAGATCTCTGTCTCGGAGTTATTGGTTGGAATGGAGGTTTGCTGGAATGCTGACACCCAGTTTAGCGCCATGACAACGCAAGTTTGACACCCCTGATTTAAACCCTGAAATCACCAGGGAAAGGAATGGCCAGGATCCTTTTTTTCAAGATCCCATATCTACCTGTTGAGATGGATTGGGAATGGGCACGGGGGTTAGTTTATGCCTGAAGGCGGGAGCAGATTTGGGCCTCGGTCTTTTACTTTCAGGCTCTTCCACTCTTTGAAAGCCAAGGTCCTCTTCACAGGATTTTCTCGAGGGCAAATGTCCAGGGTCTATCCCCTCTTCCCTGTAATAATGTCCTGAGGGTCTACCTCTCCCCTTGAGAAGACAAGAATCTGGCTTCAATTCGAAGGAAAGCGGGGGCTGGACTGCAGCTGGACTAGGAGGGGGTGAGCCCATTGTCACGGTAGACTCCGAGGCAGAACTGGCCTGCTGTTTGTGTTTAAATTTAATGGAATCGCTTCTGGTCGGAGGCGTCGGAGGGGTGGAGATGGCTTCTGGTTTTGAAGTTTGGGCTGGCAGTCCCAACATGGGACTGGGAGACAGATAGTCCATTTTGGGAGGGGTCAGAGGTCTTTTGAAAGTGTCTGGGTCAAAGATGGATTTTCTTTGTTTGGGCTTTTTGTAGACTGAGAATTTTTCCGTTTCTGCCGGAGCAAGGTTGACTACGACTTTGGGCCATGTGCCACCACTGTGCTTCCCGCCCGCTCCTTTGTCCAATGCACTCTCCAGAACAATGCAGTCTGCCACGGTGGGATCGAAGGAAAGCCGCTGGTTGTCCAGGCTCACTATCCCGTAACTTGGGTCTCCATAGCCATCTGGACCGAAGGATTCAAGGCTGTGTTCCGAATTGCTGTGGCACTCGTGGACCGAGTTCCGGTGGGAGTCGCTGTGTAAAACGCTACCAGAGAACGGTTTCAAGCTGCAGTACACACCGTTCTCTTGATCACTCTGATCCTTCTTGACGTCCATTATGTCCGGGTTGAAAATATCCGTTTGGGTTGAGCTGTTGTGCTTTAAGTTTCTTTTATTTTGAGCCTGTACTTCGGATGCATGGACTCGGCCATTGGAAATCTTCTCCGAATCCTTAAGGTTTTCAAATATGTTCTGACCACTCCAAGAGGAACTTGAACTTTGAGGATAAACCTAGGTTGAGAAGAAACAACAGGAGTATGTATGTACTGTATGTATACGCATGCCTGCCATTTCTTTAAGTAACACTAAATAATATTCCACCGATTGTAAAATATGATGGGGCTGGATTTGAAAATATTAGAAGGAATGATATATCAATCCCCACTCACACACAGCAAAGAGAAGCAGAGATGGTTAAACTGATTCTTTTATCCAAATAAGACATTTGGATAACAATAAATCCTTTCGAAGTTTTGGAAATTTGGCTCGAGACTCATGATTTAATCGGGGTAACTGCTGGAATCCTGACAATTACATGTAATTTTGTCTCTAATTTGAAATTGCTTCCAGATTTTGTGTTTGCAGAGGGGAGGAGGGGAAATGAAACTTTGATTCTGTTTTTGTAAAAGCATTCTTCTTCTAAGTCAAGGTCATGTTATTTCTGCACCTGGTTGAGAGGACGTCTCAAGCTGGGATGGATGGTGATTGGGGAATGTGATGCCATGAGGAGTGCAGGGGGTGGATTTGTAAATTTTTACTTATTGCAAGGAAACCCGGAACTTTCAGATTCAGGATTTCCCAGATGTGCCAGTTTACTATTCTAATGGAAGGAACTTTTGAGAACATGTCTGCCTCGGAGTTATTGCTTGGAGTTGTGGTTTTCTGGAACGCTGACAATGTCATTATCGTCTTCCAAGGAAGAAATGGGGATTGTGTATGGTGGAATATAAGAAGAAGACCACTGCAAAGGTGGTTGATACAATGGTTGGAAACCTCTCCTATTAAATAAATATTATTCACCAACAAAAGGCTACACACTCTTTATTCCCACTCACCTTCATCAATGAAAGTGTAAGGGACTCCCTGCAGTTTCGCAGAAGAGCTTCACATTCGGTCAGTGATTTATTATCTAGTGCAATGCCGTTTATCTGCAGGAAAAAGGAGAGTATCAAGCATGCAACGGTCAAGAAAACACTAGGATATTCACTGTGTTCAATATTGGCCCTTCAGGTTCACTTCCCACACCCAGTTCTTCAAAAGAAGATTTTCTTGTCTGTTCCTTTATTAGCGCTTGGATAGTTAATTCTGCTTTGGGTAATAAATGAGAACCATAACATACAACGACCACAATGGCTTGCATCAAATTTCAGTATTAGAATAATAAGGCAAGTGAGAGTAATTTTCTGAGCCAGAATGTCGGACGTGAAAGACCAGGTCCACACAGGAAGGTACACTTAAAACTGATTTGTTGCTTAACAGATTATACACAGGGATCTTTTCAACTGTTAGCACCTGCTTGGAGTTAGATAAGAGTCAATGGAATTCACATTATGGCTACATAGAGATTCCAGGCTGATTCCTCTTTTAACTCCGCCTCCAGGTTCTGTCACTCCTTTCCCCTACACACACACGTTTTGGAAGGAGAGGAACAAAGCGGGCAAGGAGACCTGCAAACAGGTTCTGTCATGCCTCCATCGGAGTCTGAATATGAGGAGGAAGATGAACAGCCGTCAGAGAGTGGGAGAGTGGCTCCACTGGCTGTGGAGGAAACTGGGGAAGGGCAAAGTCCAGCTGGGCAGAGCAGGAGAGAGGTAGAACAAGGGAGAGGGGGTTCAGATGAAGACCAAGACCCATCCCCTCTTCATCCTAGGGCACGCACAGAAGAATGGAGAAGAGAGCAACGTGGGTTGCATGGCTTACGAGGAAGGAAAGAGTCCTGATTCCCTTCACAAGGCAGACCTGGGGAGGGAGGAGAGGCAGTTGGGAGGGGCATTCACTGATTTACTGCCTTGTTACTTCATTTCTGGAACGCTGTATCTTGCTCTGCCAGATTTATTACCTTATTTTGCCTTATTGGATTTATAGTTTAAAGTTTTCAGTTTTCAATGTTTGGACTGGAATATCTGCAGCCAAAGGCCGGTGCAGGTTCGTGGGAGAGTTTTTCTCCAGACCGGAAGGTAACCAGGTCACTGGGGGTAAAATTGAAGCTAATAAAGGAACTCATTCTTATTCTCTGGCTATGTTCCCTTTGTGCTACACTCCGGGTCATCACAGGTTCAGAGTAGGCCTTGTAGATGGAAAGAACCAGGATGTTCTTCTCCCACTCCTCCCAATTTTCTGTTAAACCTATTTAGTGCTGTGCTTTCTCTACAGAGAGCCCTTGATTTACAAACGGTCATTTAGTGATCGTAAAAAATGATGGCGGATCTGAAAAATAGGACTTACCACCTGGGTCAGAAGTTCTGATGGTTAGGCCCCTCCTTCCATGGTCATGTGATTCCACTTTGGGTGCCTGGCAACCCGGCCACATTTATAACTGTTTGCAACATCCCATGACCATGTTTTATGACGGTTTTCCCAAAAGCCAGCAGCTATTTCCAGTTTTGGGCAAAACTGTGCCCACAGCAAGCCATCAGTTCACTAATGTACTACTGCATTTCTTTACAGCTAGTATGTTTGCTCACCAGCCTACTTATAGTTAGCAAGTAACTTTAGAAGACATTATCTCTGCTTCTGGCCAAATAGGCTTCACCACTTATCTGATGTGAATTTCTTTTTTCTTTTTTTTAATAATTTTTATTAAACCTTTTCGCATATAAAAACAACACATTTCTACTGTGAATCTCATCTACGGACTAAAGCAGACTGAAAAGGAACTTACAGCAATGATCCTATCTCCCACAGTGAGCGACCCCTCCTTGGCAGCTGGACTGCCACTCATTATGGTGGCGACAAAGATTCCATTTTCTAGACCAATTCCACTGTCTGAAATGGAGAGGACCAAAAGCGAAGGTGAATTTTTAGCAATTCTTTCACACAAAAGCTTACTGGCATGCACATCCTTCATGTTTGAAGGATGAGGCCATGTGTGTGGTTGTTCCATACCTGCTTCCTGGCAAAGCCAGTCCTGAAATGGTTGAGCTAGCTGCAGTTCACCCAAATCTCCTCAGCCTTCAGCAAACCTTCTCAGAATTCTGAAGTTTAAAATGTTTTCTTTATAGCAATAGCACTTAAGACTTACGTATCGTTTGATGGTGCTTTACAGCCCTCTCTAAGCAGTTTACAGAGTCAGCCTACTGTCCCCAACAATCTGGGTCCTCATTTTACCCACTTCGGAAGGATGGAGGGCTGAGTCAATGGCAACAGCAATAGCACTTAGACTTATATACCACTTCATGATGCTTTACAGCCCTCTCTAAGTGGTTTACAGAGTCAGCATGTTGCCTCCAACAATCTGGCTCCTCATTTTAATGACCTCAGAAGGATGGAAGGCTGAGTCAATCTGGAGCTGGTTAGGATCGAACTCCTGGCTGTGGGCAAAGTCAGCCTGCAATACTATATTCTAACCACTGTGCCACTACGGCTTCCTTCCTTCCTTCCTTCCTTCCTTCCTTCCTTCCTTCCTTCCTTCCTTCCTTCCCAAGCAATAGCAGTTAGACTTATGTACCGCTTCACAGTGCTTTCCAGCCCTCTAAGCAATTTAGAGTCAGCTTCTTGCCGCCAACAATCTTGGTCCTCATTTTAATGACCTCGGAAGGATGGAAGACTGAGTCAATCTGGAGCTGGTTAGGATCAAACTCCTGGCTGTGGCCAAAGTCATCCTGCAATACTATATTTTAATCACTGTGCCACTACAGCTTGCTTGCTTCCTTCCTAAGCAATAGCGCTTAGACTTATGTACCGCTTCACTGTGCTTTCCATCCCTCTAAGCAATTTACAGAGTCAGCCTCTTGCCCCCAACAATCTGGGTCCTCATTTTAATGACCTTGGAAGGATGGAAGGCTGAATCAACCTTGAGCCGGTCAGGATCAAACTCCTGGCAGTGAACAGTGAATTAGCCTGCAATACTGCATTCTAACCACTGCGCCATCTCGACCCTTTAAAGAAACGAACTGGTTATTTCTCTTCTAACTCAACCAATACAGTCCGTTTGGTAGGCATCTCTCATTCCAGCAGCTGATCTACCTTGTTTCTACCTTACCTGTAGGTGAAATCTTTGGTGTAAGTCTACAACGGTTTCTCCTGAAAACTCACCATTTTGTTTTGAGTTCTCAGCATCTGGCAGCAGCTAGGTGACTTTGGAAACTAAGCAAAGCCTGGTTTGGATTTGGATGGGAAAATTCCAAGAAATGTCAGGGGTCAGGCTAAATTGAGAAGTTTTTCTTTTTTACAAAAAAATCATCCAGAATGATACCGTAATTTATTGCCAAGGAAAATGCTGTATACGGCAAAATCCCGGACACCAACTAAAGAATTGAGGTTGACTGAGATTTTACCTTCTAATTTAGGAAAGAGGGTATCTTAAGAGCTACTCTGCATGGTGATACAACCACAGCTGTTAACAAAAAACAAAACCTGATGTTTTAGATCACTAATACCCAGTGGAAAACATCTTCCATAACAGGCATTTCAGTCTCACAGGAATACAAACCAGGAAAGCATACCAAAGTATTTATTCACTTTGGCAGCAAATCCATGAAGAATGCAGTGGAAACATTGACTGGATCTCTGCATGTTTCTTATGCATAGACAGCATGTATAAACAACTGCTGACTCTGAGAGCCGCATGAGGGCCTCACCTTTATGGCCTGAAAGGTTGATGTGCAGCGGTGTTACCACTTTCCCTCCTAAGGACTTCCTTCGGCGAACCACCATGTTGATCACTCCTCCGCCATTAAGGACTGCTTTGATCACTTGCTTTTTGTCTTTGTTGGTGAGGTCCACATCATTTATCTTCAGCAGCCAATCGTTCACCCTGGTTAATTAGAGCCAAACACATGACCCTTGACATGACTGAGTCACCTCATACATATTTCTGTTAAAGATCACGCAACTCCGTTCAGAATCTGCGATCTTCATTCTTAAAAACTTCTCGTTTTAGAAAATCTGCTTCTTAAGTCCTTCATTTTAACGGCGCCCTGGTGTTTCTCCTAATAATCCCAAATTTCATGTCCCCAATCCCAAATGAGCAGAACCATGGCACGATGTACAGTCATTCTCTTTCAACAAACACTCCTCTCTTGCCGGAGTCAACAAAACACCCATCACCTTCTCCCAACATTGGTACCAGTGGTGGTATGCTACTGGTTCAGCCCGGTTCAGCCGAGCCGGTAGTAGTGATGAGTTGTGGAGAATGAACCGATTCTCTCCGCTGTTCTGCTGTTGGTCCCGCCCGCCTGCCCAGGCTCCCATACAAAGCGTAGCTGCTTTGCACGGCACAGCAGAGTGCCGCACGGCAGCTGCTGAAGTGACCAGGAGAGTGCAGGCTTTCAGGAAGTGAGCTAGAATGCCTCTGCACCTGCACAAAACTCCTTTGCGCCTGTGCAAAGTGCGCATTTGGTACACGCGTGCGTGCAAAGTGTATGCATGCGTGCAAAGTGTGCCCACCATGCCATGCCCACCGAACCAGTGGTAAAAATATTTGAATCCCACCACTGATTGGCACCTCTTAAAATTTCTCCATTTCATTTTGCTATCTTTGGCAATCAAGAGGCAAGCAACATTTTAGCTATTTGATAAATAATTAGACTTCATATCGATGTGCTCCTGGCAAATGTAACTGCCAACTACCCTTGTGGTGCTTCATGCATTTATTTACACATGAAGAGATTTACATATGACAAGTGATAATGACAAGCAATGTTTACGATTTATCATTATTCTGCTGCTTTGCATGTAGACGAGAACTTCTGCACCAGAGACAAATTCTTTGTGCTGTCTAATTGCATTTCGCCAAAATAAAAGTATTCCATTCAAATGAAGTATTCGATTCAAGGGTTTGGACGAACTACCCACAGCATACCTCAGTCGTCCATCCGCAATGCTTCCTTTGTCGACTTTGGTAACAAAAATTCCACAGTCTCCAGGAAGGTAGGGTTCATTCACTCCTTCGGCCACATCAAAGCCAAGCGCCTTCAAATCCATGTCTTCCTAAAAGATACGAACACAACGCACATCACCTGTAGTGATTTCATACTAAAGACATTGTGAGCACATGTGAGATATTGCTTTCCATCCTCTCTCTGTTTGCCTGGAGCTTCCAAGGATCAGAGCTCTGTTGCCAACCTGCCACCGTGGACTTCCAACTTACCCTGTCTTTCTCAAACTCTACTACTTCTGTTTCCCACTCCATTGAATCTGTATCAATCGCTGAGTCGTGGGAGCTGTGAGCCATCAACTGTCGAAATCTTGCTTCTTTTTCCAACTGATTCTCCATCTTCTCTCTGTGGAAAGTTGAGCATGACAATCAAGATGAGAGGACAGCTTATTCTTTCTCACACTTACATGCTCTGGATGAGAAGGATGAAGGGGTCCCAATTTCAATGCTGGATTCCTCATGTTCCAATTTAATGTAATCCTGATAGCTGGTTAATAGGTAGGTGATCCCCCACAAAATTAAAAGAAATCTGCTAAGTGGGCAAAGAAGGAATCTCTCCTAACCCCTTCAGATTGGACTATTGTGGTTTCTTTGTCTTCCAATTAAAAGTTAGTCCTATAGACAGATCTATTCTTTCCTTCTTTTCCACATTTTGTGGGTTTACAGGTTTTAATACATGTTGTTTACCCATAACACTTTATATATGCATATACAAAAGTATGTGGATCTCGGTCTTTCTTTCTTTCTCTCTCTCTCTCTCTTTCTTTCTCCCTCTCTCCCCTCTTTCTCTCTCTTCTCTTTCTCTCTCTCTTTCTCCCTCTCCTCCCTTTCTTTCTCTCCCTCCCTCTCTCTCCCTCTCCCTCCCTCTTTCTCTCTCCCTCCCTCTTTCTCTCTCCCCATCTCCCTCCCTCTCTCTCCTCCCTCTTTCTCTCTCCCACTTTCTCTCCGTCCCTCCCTCTCTCTCTCCCTCTCTCTTTCTCTCCATCTATCATGCATAAACTTGCAATGTGTGAAATTCCGGCATTTGAAATTAAACAATACAGATAGTCTTACAACCATTTTTAATGTCTATGGAGAGTCTCAGTCTTCCAGGTCATGGTTGTCCCAAAAGTGCTTTTTTTTCCCAAGAGGTAACTGGACTTCCTGGTTTTTCTTGTGAAGACGTTTCACTTCTCCTCCAAGGAGCTTCTTCAGCTCTGACTGATTCTCTCACCATCCAATCAGAGCTGAAGAAGCTTCTTGGAGGAGAAGCGAAATGTCTTCACAAGAAAAACCAGAAAGTTCAGTTGCCTCTTGGAAGAAAAAAAAAGTACCTTTGGGACCGACTATTTGTTTAGTGAACAAACTTACAATGTCAGTGAAAAAAGTGACTTGTGACCATTTTTCACACTTACCACTGTTGTAGCATCCCCACATGGGCACATGGGCAAAATTTGGGCACTTGGCAACTGGCTCATATTTATGATTTCATTGTCCCAGGCTCACTTAACTGTGGTTAGAATGCAGTATTGCAGGCTAACCCACTGCTCATTGCCATCAGTTCGATCCTGACCAGCTGAAGGTTGACTCAGCCTTCTGTCCTTCCGAGGTGGGTAAAATTAGGTGGGTAAAATTTGGGAGGGCAAGAGGCTGACTCTGTAAACTTCTTAGAGAAGGCTGTAAAGCACTGTGAAGTGGTATATAAGTCTATTGCTATCTATCATGTATCAATGATCAACCATCCATTATCTATACATCCATCCATCCATGTCTGTCTGTCTGTCTGTCTCTGCCTGCCTGCCTGCCTGCCTGCCTGCCTGCCTATCTATCTATCTATCTATCTATCTATCTATCTATCTATCTATCATCTATCATCTATCATCTATCATCTATCATCTATCATCTATCATCTATCATCTATCATCTATCTGTGGTTGCACAGTGGTTAGAAGGCAGTACTGCAAGCTAATTCTGCTGACTGCCAGCAGTTCGATCCTGACTGGCTCAAGGTTGACTCATCCTTCTATCCTTCCGAGGTCGGTAAAATGAGGACCCAGATTGTTGGAGGCAAGAGGCTGACTCTGTGAACCACTTAGAAAGGGCTGTAAAGCACAGTTGAAGCGGTATATAAGTCTAAGGGCTATTGCTATTTGTAACCTCCCCAGCCAGCTTCTGAGAAGCCAAATCAATGGGAAAGTGGGATTCATTGAACAACCGTATGACTAACTTAACAACGGCAGTGATTCACTGAACAACTGTGGCAAGAAAGGTTGTAAAATGAGGCAAAGCTCACTTTACGACTCTCTCGTTTGGCGACAAAATGGTTGGGGTCAATTGTGGCGGTAAGTTGAGGGCTACCTGCATCTACATACTATTAAACACCCTGTCCTATTCCAAGGGTTGCAGCGGGGGAAAAAAGGCCCGACACAGGGGATGCAAACGAGTTTGCTATAACGCACTTCAGTTCCTTCAATTCACGTCCGGCGTCATTCTTCTGCTTCCTCATGTCATCCAGATTACGAAGCGCCTCCGCCAAGTCACTCACAGCTCGGTCTCTTTCCCGCCTCAGGTTATCGCACAAAGTCCTTCCAAGAAATCAAAGTGCAATGTGAGAGGGCTGCAGGGTTACACAAGGGTGCCCGCACCAGTCTCTGTGTTCCCCCCCTTCTGCTAGGACAGGGGTTGGCAACCTGCGGCTCTGGAGCCACAGGCGGCTCTTTTGGCCCTCGGCTGCACCTCCCCATTGGCATATCCCATCCCTGGCTGGCCCCTCTTCGCCCTGCCCCTCCTCGCCTGGCCTGAGAAGGTAAGGGGGATGGTGGGGGATGGAGACTGTCTCCATATTCCAGAGCAGGAGGTGACTGGGTGGGAGTGAGTGACCGTCAAGTTGGCCACGCCCACCCAATCACACCGGTTGTTAAATTATTGGCTCCCGGTGTTTTCTTTTCTGTGGGAAACAGGTCCAAATGCCTCTTTCAGGTGTTTATGGTTGCTGACCCCTGCCATGGGATAGAATACAGACTTACTTTAGGGACCGTTCAAAGTTACAATGGCGCTGAATTAAAAAAGGGACTTCGGTCCACTTTTCACCATTTGTGACTTTCGCGGAATTGCCCCATGATTCAAATTCAGTCACTTGGCAACTGACTCATGTTTATGACCAGAGCAGTGTTCCAGGGTCAAGCGATCCCTTTTTGTGACCTCCTGACAAGCAAAATCCATGGGGAAGACAGATTCACCTAACAATTGTCTGACTAACTTGTCAACCACAGTGGTTCACTGAACAATGGTGGCAGAAGATGTCATAAAATGAGTCAAAATTCACATTTAGGATGGTCGCAGTACCCCAGGGGTCATATGATCCCACTTTTGCGACCTTATGACAAGTGAATTCAAGGAGGAGTGTGACTAACTTATCAACTGTGGTGATTCCCTTGACAATGGAGGGAAGGTCATAAAAACGGGGCAAAACTCAACGTCTCTCTCAACAACAGAAGTGTAGGGTAATATTGTAAGGGTGTAAGTCACAATGCAAGTCACCAAAAACTGTTTCCTCCCACCCGTGGTTCCAAAAGTGCAGTACAAGTCCTCCCACACAGCTACAAACCCAATGTATGGTGGGTGTACCGTATGCTCTCTCGTTCCGAAACGATTTTATCCCGTTCCTGGAACGCCCAGTCTCGCCTGCATTTGGCGACTTCCGCCTCCTGAGTTGCTTCTTTCAACTCCTGCGACATGGCTTCGTATTGCTTCCGGAGCATTTCAATTTCTTTGTTCGCTCTTTCTATATCCAGCGTGGCCGAATCTTGTATCTAAGAAAACAGAACGAGGGATTCCGTTCACAGAATCAGAAGCTTCACTAGAAAGTGTGCAGAGAAGAGCAACCGGGATGATGAGGGGACTGGAGGCCAAACATATGATGAACAGTTGCAGGAACTGGGCCTGGCTAGTCTAGGAAAGAGAAGGACCAGGGGAGACTGTCAACTAAAAAAAATACTCCTTTGGTTTTTTTAGCTGCCAGAAAAAGGGAATGGGGGAAAAACAAGACATTCTTGAAATTCCTAGATAATCACCCTGGTAGCCCAAAGTTGTGGAGCATAAGAAGGTTATTGGAGAGCATGATGGATGACTCTTGGAGATGGATGTATCCCATTGGAGAGGTCACATCCAGGGGGTGGGGGGAAGACCAGGGTCAGGGGGGAAATGTATGATGTGATTTAATATCGGCTGCACCTAGCCACGCACCAACATGGCCTCCAAGGAAACAGAATCCCACATTGCCAAGTTTTTAAAAAATTAATATTGTTACCTGGCGAGCTTGATAATATTCTCTTAACAGATGGTCCCTCTGGATGATGGCTTCCGTCCTCTCCTTCCGGGCTACATCCCTCTCTTCCTTCACGGTCTCAATATCTTTACACGCCTGGTCCAGCTCCTTCTGGGCCTCAGCCTTGTCCTTCACTTCGTGGCAGTATTTTTCTAAGAGCTCATTCCTTTCGCAGATGGCTCGGTCTCGTTCCACCAGAGCAGAATTCAGCTCCTGAAATGGAATCAACTGTTAGGTCGGTTGGCCAAGTGACGAAGGAGACTGGACGCTAAAAGATATGAAGAACGGTTACAGGAACTGGGCATGTCTAGTCTAGTGAAGAGAAAGACCAGGGGAGACCGGACAGCAGTCTTCCAATATTTGAGGGGCTGCCAAAGAGACAAGGAAGGGCTCAAGCTGTTTTCCAAAGCCCCCAAAGGCCAGACAAGGAATAATGGATGGAAATTGGTCCAGAAGAGATTCAACCTGGAAATAAGGAGGAATTTCCTGACAGGGAGAACAATCAACCGATGGAACAGAAGTTGCCTTCAGAAGTTGTGGGAGCTTCATCCCTGGAGGCTTTCAAGAAGAGATTGATGACTGCCATCTGTCAGAAACGGTGTGGGGTCTCCCACTTGGGGGGGGGGGGGT